TGGTAAATGTGTGGCGCGGTGACACTGTAACAGTATTTCAGATAAAATTTAACACAGAGAGAACTGTGGAGCTAAGTAAACAATGACTAGAGTGGAACAGCTGAAGATAGTGCTGAAAGGGTCGTAGTCGATACATTTGATCCTTCATTCCAAGCCCTTAATTCCGAGGAAAAACGTTAACGTTTACATCAATAACACGACAAAATAAGTTTTTGCATCGAAAGACTCGCAGGAGCAACGATGTTTTAAAGAAATAGTGTTTTGTTGTTGTTGTTGTTGTTGTTCTTTTTCGATGTTCGCGGGTCATTTTCACGATGCCAGTCACGGCTAGGCATATGAGCTCAGACCCGAAATAAATACCAGCATGCAGTGCGTTCATACGCTTTACACAATCCTTGAGTAACACACACCGGGAGTGTCTTTCAAGCCACGATGAAATTGCTCTTTTTCCTCGTTTTGTTCTCTTGTATCTCCTTCGGTAAGTTCTCTCATAGTATCTGATGTGACTTATGTTTTATTGAAGGCATTGTCATGTTTCAGTGGATTTCCGCTCCACGCACTGTGCAAATTCGCCCTACTGCGGATCGGAGCACGAAACCGAAACATTCCGAGGCACTACCGAGGACGCCTGATACGAAGTATCCCATTTGAATCCAGCCTGTTTTCGGTATTCAACGTGAATTTTTCGCGTCTATATCCCTGAACACGCTTGAAAAGGTGTAAGTCACGTTTTGCATACGCCTTGCCGGGGCTAGGATTCTATTTCAAAGACGCATTCCACTTGAATACTTCACGTTTACTCGCTTAAATACTCTTGATTACCCACGTGTGGTTGTGCTTGAATACTGTGGGATTCCGTGGCATTACGATTGCGTATTTGAGGTTTGAATACTCCCATATATTGGCGCACTTGTAGTTGACTTCAACTCAGGTGAACACTGGAGGCTAACCTCCTGACGCCTCGTTTACGAACTTAATTTATCTTGTATTTTGAAGCTTTTTTAAAATTCGCCTTGATAGGAGTCTCGACTGGCCCTCTTATTTCCTTTTTCCTCAATTATAGTCAATTATGACTTGAACAAGAATGCTAGACGTTGAATTGGTAGACCAACTGCAGAGAATAAAGCCAGTTAGAAGCAGCACATCATTTTTAGCTGTGCACCTTGAATAATATGATGATAATAACACTGCTTTAAGACATCTCATTTACTCTTGGATGTTTTCGCTTTGGCCCAATGTGATTGTTTAACATTGCTTCGTTGACCAAATAGGCGTTGTATGGCAAGCCGTTTGTAACAAAATTCAATCCTTGCAATATATGTTTAATCCTTTAAATAATGGTTTTATTTAAACATATAAAAAGGCATTCAACCCAATGGCAAATAAAATTTTTGGTTCAATTCAATCTTTTAATTTTCATGATTCAATCCAATACCTGGAATATTGATTCAATCCAATACCTGGAATATTG